TCTTCTTTCCTTTTCAGGAACTCCTTTCCTCCTTTTAAGGACCATCTAACATCCCAGACCTCAAGATCAGTCTTCCAAGTGTCTGAACTGATCCCCAGTGCCTGGTCCTCTTCTCCACCCCAACTCTAGCCATCATGCATCAGTGATCATACCGATAGTCCACATACACCCTAGAATGAGTCCCCAGTTCAGATTCCTTTTCTAGGACTATATATTTTTAATGACTCTGCTCAGAAAACTGTTTCACCTCTGAAAGTCTAACCTCTACCCCAAACTTCCTTTTATCCATTACACACAAATGTCACACTCATTTTATCTCCAATCTCTACCTCTTACTATTCACCCGATCTATCAGTGTCTTACTGATCAGACTTCTCTTACAGTCCAGCTTCCACAGCCAATCTCCATCAATCTCTACTGGCCTTGCCTTTAGATTGCTCTCCAGCAATCTTTAACAGCCTAGGTCTCTACCTTCCAGTGCCTGACCCCGGCAAGATCCATACTTCCCTACTCTACATTCTTGGCAGCTAAGCACTGCTAGACAAAAATGGAAAACTTGGCTCCAAGCCACTGCAATTAATGATTTCCCACCTCAAACTGGTTTTCTAAGCATTCCTCTATCTTTTCACTTGCCTTTGGTCATTGTGGTCACTTAGTCTTCCAGATGGTTAATACTAACAAAAATGTGAGACAGGACTAAGGTCAACAGAATATCAAAACAATCTCAAGGGTGTTGGCTAAAGTATGAGAAGAAAACCAAAGGCCACACATAGTCAAACCAATTTCGCTCCAATGCTGTATGTCCTTTGGGTTCTAAGTCAATTATTTTCACGGCACCAGGAATACTACTGCTGTCTTAATTCTTATAGATCCTTAGAGTTTGAAAAGTGGTGAAGGATGCACCACTGGTAAAAATGACTGCTCTTCAACTCCCCTCATGCCCCAGGTACCTTTACATACTTACAATAGGTCATCAATGACACATACCAAACTTCTGTTTTCATTTTAATTTATTCTGTGCAGTTTAAAGTGAATGTTAAAAACATCAAACAAACCACAGAAGCTTAGGTATAGTTCTGACCAGTTCCGAAACAAAAACAGTGAATGATCATTTACACACATTGCTTAAATCTGAATTTACATTTTTTAATATAAAGCTACTATTAACGCACACAATTCTAATTCCTTATAAACCTATTTGTCAAGCAGCAGGATGACGATGCATCATACCACAGCACAGAATGTTTCCAGTAAGAAACCACAGCAGCAGTATTTGGTGAATGGTTAAGTGCAGAATTAACTTGGGAGTGTAATATCAAACACCGGTCATAATAACTTGGAGTGTAACGTCAAACACCAGTCATAAGATAGGCAGCACACATTAACAAATGGAAAATGTAACTTTTAGTAAGATAAAATGTCATTCTTTATGCTTTAAAAGCTATAGCGGATACTTTAAAAAGCCAACCATACAAGTTGCTTTAATTCTAGACTCCATAACAAAATACTATTCCATTAGTTGCTTGAAAAGTCTATAACCTTGCCTTTTTGAAGTCAACTTCAAATATAAAAAAGCACTTGAAGTTTACCGGTCAAAAACCTAAAGTTACACAGGCTACATGTTACATTAAAACATACCTCGTAAGAAAGACAGACTTTAAAAAATACTGCACTGTTGCCTTAAAATAATGTCAAAATAGGTTGCTCCTAACAATAAAAATGTACTACTTTCAAATCTTTCGACACATTTTGGTTTAAAATAACATTTTGTGAAACCATTAATATCGTTCACCCACCTCTCTGCAAATATATTCCCACCTTTCCGCAAAGTAACAGTCGGAAGTGGTTTTTAAACCTAGTATCATCTAAAGAAATGGGTCAGCACATATGTGAATTAGTTACTCACCAAAACAATGTATTTAATGTTTCCACCATGAAAACAACACTACAAAATCCATGGGATGAATTCTATTTTTAGCTTAACCTATATATTAAAAACCTCACTGAACAGTGCCGCATTAATATTTAGCGGGGTTTTTTGGCGTTTAAATCAGAGCGACGCAAACCAGTACGTTTGATACAGGCAATTTTTACAAAAGTTTCAGAGGCAGAGATGCGGGAAATTGGTTAAGAACATGAAACAACACTGCTGAGAGTCCTGGATTTTAGAATTTATCCTCAAAAGATGGCACAGATGATGGCCATCACCGTTTGTGAGCATTCCGACAAGACAGATACTTGTATGTGCTCTTAACGCTCAGCGTCTTTCCAAACTGCAAAATTAACCCTAGGCTAGTCTGTCTCTCACTGAGAAACTGCAAAGGTACTTGGAAAGTCCTGGCTGAGAGCAGTTACAAAAACACTAAACTAGGAAAAGGAACAAAACACTGTACCACACAGATAATTGTGTTACTATTCCTCTTGGCTTTCTCAGTGGCCGTAGGAATATGTACTATGTTGAGAGTTACTGGGGGGGAGGCAGGGAGTCCAAGAGAACACCACACGTTTTAAACGAAGAAGTTCGTTTATAGAATTTTCATACTGGCACCAGTGTTTTGACTCTCCGAGAAGTTAAAACATGGTGGGGTGTTAGAGATTAACATGCTTTTGGATGTATTTCCCAAACAAGTTAAACAGGACATTTCCTTAAATTCTACTAAAAAAGATATCCTTGAAACATAAATGTTAATAAATAATACCAACACATACACCCCCCCCCCATGCCCGCGGATTCGTCTGTAGTATTGTGATGACCCTTGCAGGTTGTGTGGGGTTAGAGAAACCATCATTCCTTAATACTGAAATAGTACAGAAGCTCACTTGTTATTTAAGGTTTTTCAACCACTATTATCACCTAAATCCAAGGTATCCCCTATAAAGCAGAATCCAGAGCTCCAAGTTTTAGACTATGAAAGATCTAATTAAACAGCCTCCTATACCAAGAAGATTTTAGGCATTAATTTTTCTGGGGACCATTTTAAATTTGATATCGAGGTGGTATGAAGCACTAAAATGCATGCTTGAAACTTGGGTCACTGTTCTATTAATCCCTATAGTCACAGAATAAGAGAAAAATGCATCCAGTAAGGAAATGACGGAAAGATTATGCCTCACTCTGGGCTGCTGGGGATCTTTCCCCAGCAATTGTTTAAAACTAAGTGCATGCTCTATAAATTCCCTTTCAGTGTAAGACCAAAGGACTAGTGACGGCAGAGGCATACTCAGGAGTGCAAGTGGTCTGTTGACAAAACCATCAGCATGGAGTAGGAGGTATCATACACCGTCATAACATAGAGGTAATACCCTGTGATGGCTAGTTCTTAAGGAAAAAAAGGGTAAACACACACAAAAAGGAACTTGGATTCATAAAAGAAATTGGCTTTGCAATCCACTCTTGAGCAGAGTGGGAACACTGAACAGGAAGGGTTGTTGAATTCATCTCTCTCTTCCCTGGTGAACATTTAGTCCAAAGTTTAGTGAAGACAAACACAGGTACCTGGCAAGTTCTTTTCCAGTGAAGTGGGCATTTGTACCCATTCTGTTTCCTCGGTACCCAGGACCTCTGAGGTCTCGTCACTGAATTGTCTGTGAAGAAGTACCTTCTCCACAACATATGCCTTGAGCATGAAGCCCTCCCATACAAAGGGAGAATCGAATCCTGCTCTCCTGAAGTAGAAGACCATTCTTAGGCTAAGTCACTACTCTAAAATCTTGAATATGTTGCCAAAAAAAAAAAAAAAAAAAAAACTATCTCATAGAGGATAACTATTTTAACAGCATTGTAAGAGACAGGATTAAGTGCCCCAATAAATAATTGCTACCTCACAAGGAAAAATAAATTTACAAACTCTTTTTTATCTAAGATCCCATCAACTGTAAGATGCACCATATGCATCACTAAGAAAAAAACACAGGCAATGAAACTGACACGATGCTTTCATATTGTGTAGAATGTTTATATTTATTGAAATGGTTTTTTAGAGTTAAGCAGATTTTCAACACATCAATCTTGTGCATACTGAAAGAAAGTGTGAAGTAAGTAGTTAGGTTGTAACTATAACCTCATATTCAGAGTCCAACTCTTCTGAATCACTTCTCAGACCACAGCCATCAACGTCCGCATTCTTCCACAGAACAGCACTCTTGGTGTCACCGAGCGCACTGGGGACACCGCGTTTCTTGAAAGAGTGCCCCACCCCCGTCTTCTGTTTCATGTCAGCAGAAAATCTGGAGCAAAACGATGTTTGATGCCTTAAAGATAACCCTGCTCGGCGCATGAACCGATCGCACCAGCCTCTTGTCGCTTTGAACTTTGTTTTGTCTACCCCCAGGGTTCTGGCAATTTCTCCTGCCTTCAATTGCATTGCTTGGCGCGTGACAAGCAATCCTTTTGCACGCATCTCACTGACAAAACAGAGTACGGCTTCATCCACTTGTGGGTATCTTCCTTTCTTGGGTCCCGTAAAGCATTTTGTTGTCGCTTTACAAGAAAATATGGAATGGCGGTCATTCCTCCAGCGCCGGACGTTTGCTTCACTAATCCCAAACGTACGCCCCGTGGCTCTGTTTCCATGCTTTTCTGCGTACACAATCACTTTTCGTTTCAATGCTGAATCATAGTGCAATCTTTTTGAAGACCTCTTTAAATGCCAATTAAACCTGACACATTTGGTACCAACAATACCGTGACGATGCTGGGACAAGCTGTTAGTAAGTTCACACACACACACACAGGCTGGGCTAATCAATCACATCATGACCCTCTCCTGGTTCACAGTAATTATGAGATACATCCCAATTTCAGACAAAGTAAAATGTGAAAACAAAAACAAAAACACAACATACATTACAGAATCAATAAAATACGGTTTTTCAAGCATGTAATGTTTACCAGATACACACCAGTGCAAGATAATAAGCTGGGAGCCAGAGAGTAAGTATGCAGGTAGAAAGCTAGTAAAGCAAAGATTACCTTTAAGATGAAGTCTGCAATGGTCTGATTTGGTTTTAATTCCCTTTATTTTCATATGGCTTACATAGAAATCTTTTTTTCTTTTAATTGGACTTAAAATCCAAGTAAAAATGTTCTTCCATCTTTTACCAAACTGCATAGCCCAGTCATTAAAGACAGAGGCTCTCCACTGCCTTTCATCCTTCACTGGTACAGGACTAGAGCGAGGGTCAGTGGCCTTCATCAGCAGGTGCCCTTCTTTGCCGAGCAGATCTGATCCTGTGAGAAGATGATGAAGTGTCTTCTTCCGTCTCAGAGCCCGACGGCTCGTGATCTCCCTCCTGAGATCCTGTATCTCCCACCAGTTCCCGCAGAAACTTGAATTTTGATAAAAATAGATGCCATACGAAATACCAACCTAGAAAGAGACAGAAACATTAAGAAAAATTATTACACACACTATTATCAATGGAGGACATGCCAGTTAATTGGGTATGTGTCAGGGATATATTATAAAACAGTATAGATAGTATCAACAAATATGTGATTGTAAATGTATTTTTTACCTTTTTTTTTTTTTAACCATGGACAAGGCACAAGAGTAAACTCTGACATTACACAAGAATGGCAAAAAGTTTCTGCCTTTGAGGAATTTAGAACCCAAGCGTGGTCCATCTACATTAAAATTATGATGACATTATGATATCTAGGTCCAAGTGTTTATTATATTAAAATCAAATCTCTGAGAGCACTTTATTGCGGGAAAAAAGAAGATACTTTGCATTTCCCTGGGAAAGTTATGTCTCAGTGCTAATACTTACTAAAAGAAAGTCTGATCTGACCGCAATGTGAAACCGTTATGCGGCAGGCTTCAAGTGCACTTCTCCAAGAGATTCTGTCAGAATCAAGCTATTCGTAAATTTCTAGAAATAATACATTTTTCAAGGAAATTAGTACATTTTCTTTAATTACATGATGAAAGAATAAAGCCAGAGCACCACTACCTGAAGTTCAAGATTTTTAAAAATACAGTGTATTTTCAAGTCAGAGTCATTAAAAAGTCTGAACTCTCCTTAAAAATAAAAATTACTGACCATGTTTTGTTTGTTTTTGCAAGGAGTCTGAAGTTCACTACATTTCAGACGCACACGAATAAGGATCAATCAATAAAATGAGTAGACAGGATAAAACCTCTGAACCCATGACTAGTTGCTCTGAAATGTTAAGCGCCTATTAAAGCAAACAAAAGTAACCACTGTGACAAAGTTTTCCACACTGGTGTTGCCTTCTACTTTCAACTCTCTAGTTTAATAGAAAAGCAATGGACCATATCATGTTCTGAGGAGCAGCATTTTCCAAAGACAAAATCCAAGCAGCTTTTCTACCCCTGTATTACACCAGGTCACCCTGAATGACCACTTAAGGACATTCTAATTCTACTTGTTTCTTTCTTGCAGTCTCTGAAGAGAAAAAAGAAAAAAGATCAACACAAGCTCCTTGGTATTAAAAGACTAAAACTTCAGGGGCTTAATGCAATTTCTCAAGGGTTTGCTTTCCCTGAAGCTTGAGCGCTGAATGCTAACTGAACCACACCATAAGTGAACTTTCGTCAACCACACCATAAGTGAACTTTCGTCAACTTTCTTCACTTCATCAAGTAGTATTTTCATAAAATTCCAAGTCAGCACGCTCTCTTTTTCACCCACAACTCTTTGTAAAAGTGGGCACAGCGAATTAGCAGAAAGAACTCTGGAGGCGTCAGGAGCCCCGGTTCTAAGAGAAGATCACAAAGCTACACTGGGAACCAAATGAGAGGGGACCTACAAAGCTACGGCCCCTGGCACTGAGTAAGCATTAGTAAGCTGTGTGGGTCCCTGGGCAGTGGGATCTGACATGGCTTCTATTTTTTTAATTATCTTTTCTTTTAATTGAGATCCAAGTCACATAGCAGAAAATTTGCTTTTAAAGGTTACAATTCAGTGGTTTTGAGTATATTCACAAGGCTGTACAAGCATCATCACGATCAAAGCCCAGAATATTTCATCAACCCTAAAAGAAACCCCACGTCCATCAGCAATCACTCCCTCTATTTCCTCCTCCCTCCCTCTATTTCCTCCTCCCCCAGCCCTGGCAACCAGTAATGGAACTGTCTCTATGGATTTGTCTATTCCAAGCATTTCCCATCACAGCATGTCATCTTCTGGGTCTGGCTCCATCCACTTGACCTATACTTTCAAGGTTCATCATCCATGTCACAGGCATCACTTCATTCCTTTTTATCATGGAAAAATATCCCATTGCACGGACACATCACATGTGGTTTAACCATTCAGCAGTGAAGGGCCACTGGGGTAGCTTCTCCTTTGGGACTGGTATAAAAGAAAACAGTTTCTGCTGTTTGGCTGCAATGACCATTTGTGTACAAGTTTTTGAAGAGACAGATTTTCATTTCTTTTGGGTATATCCCTAGGAGGACAACTGCTGGATCACGTGGTAACTTGATGCTTAACCACTTGAGAAATTGCTAAACTGTTTTCCAAAGCAGCTGCACCATTCCACATCCTGACATCTGGAGCTGGCATCTGGAGCTGCACGAGGCTCCAGTTTCCCTCATCCTCACCAACTCTCTCCATTGTCCACCTTTCCGGTGACAGTCATCTGAATGGGTGTAGCACTGTGGCTTTTATTTGCATTTCCCTCGTGACTAAAGATGGTGAGCATCTTTCCACATGTTGATTGTCTACTTATGTATCCCCTTTGGAGAATTATCTATCCCAGGGGCACCTGGGTGGCTCAGTGGATTGAGCCTCTGCCTTGGCTCAGGTCATGATCTCAGGTTCCTGGGATGAGCCCCGAATCAGGCTCTCTGCTCAGCGGGGAGCCTGCTTCCCCCTCTCCTTCTGCCTGCCTCTCTGCCTACTTGTGATCTCTCACTGTCAAATAAATAAATAAAATCTTTAAAAAAAAATACCTATTCCATTGCTTTGCCCATTTTTTATAGCAGGTTGTCTTTTTATTATTGAGTTGTAAGAGCTCTTTATATATATATATATATATATATATATTCGTGACCTTAAAAATATATATATATTTTTATATATATAAATATAAAATATTTATATATATATTATTATATATTATATATATATTTATATTTATATATATATATTATTATATATATTATATATATAATATTTATATATGTTTATATATATAATATATAATATATATTATTTATATATATATTATTTTTTAAGATTTTATCTATTTATTTGACAGAGACCGCAAGTAGGCAGAGAAGCAGGCAAGGGCAGGGGGAGGTGAGGGGGGAAGCAGGCCAAGAGCCTGATGCGGGGCTCAATTCCAGGACCCTGAGACCACGACCTGAGCCGAAGGCAGAGGCTCAACCCACCAAGCCACCCAGGTGCCCCGAGCTCTTTATATATTTTTGACACTAGACCTTTATTAGATATATGATTTCCAAATATTTCCTTCCACTCTGGGTTGTTTTTTCACTGTCTTGACAATATTATTTGAAGTATAAATGTTTTTAATTATGATGAAGCCTAATTTATCTTTTTTTTTTTTCTTTCATAAAACCCATCTAATCAATTTTTTCTTTGGCTGTTTCTACTTTTCGTGTCATATCTAGGGACCCACTGACTAATCTAAGGTCACGAAGATTTACACCTATGTATTCTAACGGTTTTACTTTTAGCTCTTATATTTAGGTCTGATCTATTTTAGCGAATTTTAGCATGAGAAGATTCAAATTCATTCTTCTGCATGTGGATATCAAGTTGTTCCAAAACCTTTTGTTGAAAGACTGCTCTTCTCTCCAATAAACTGTCTTGACACCTTTGTCAAAAATCAAATGACCTGGGCACCTGGGTGGCTCAGTCAGTTAAGCATCTACCTTTGGCTCAGGTCATGATCCTAAAGTCATGGGATGGAGTCCCACATGGTCTCCCTGTTCAGAGGGGAGTCTGCTTCTCCCTCTGTCCTGTACCCTACTTGTGCTCTCAAATAAATAAATAAAATCTTTTAAAAAGTTTTAAAATTGAGAGTTAAAGTCTACCATCTTTGTTTTTTTTCAAGACTGTTTTGGCTGTTCTGAGTCCCTTGCATTGTCATATAAATTTTAGAATTATACTGTGGATCTCTGCAAAAAAGGCAGTGAGAATTGATAGGGATTACAACTGAATCTGCAGATTAATGTGGGGACCCTGCATGGGTTTTTTTTGTTTGTTTTTAAATACTTCCCTGTACTTACAAGATTTTCCCACAATAGACAAACATGACTTGGATAAATAAAAGAATCAGGAAAAAGAAGTCAGAAAGTAATAAGTAAGTCATGAATACTCTATAAACTTACATTGTTTTGAATATGGCTATGCCATTAATTGGCCTAAATTATTAAAGCCAGCTGATTTCAACAAACAAACAGGAATGAAAACCCTTAACTCAGGTGAGTTTTGACTCTCAAAGACGACAGTCTTGACCTCATAAAGAACAAACACTCCAACTGTGGCTACAAGGTGTGAAATGATCATAAAGAAAAGTAGGGAGGGGCACCTGGGTGGCTCAGTGGGTTAAAGCCTCTGCCTTTGGCTCAGGTCGTGATCCCACGGTCCTGGGATTGAGCCCTGCATCGCATAGGGCTCTCTGCTCGGCGGGGAGCCTGCCTCCCTTCCTCTCTCTCTGCCTGCCTCTCTGCCTGCTTGTGATCTCTGTCTGTCAAATAAATAAATAAAATCTTTAAAAAAAAAAGTAGGGAAGTACTCTTTTGACTAAAGAGACTATGGTGAAGGGCTGGGATGACTGGAGTCCCATCATAAAATTACTAGTGTGCCCCTGTGCTAATGGTTAAGAGAAAGCAAAGTCTCCTAGCACTGAAATCTACACAATAAGGAACTCATAAGGACACCTGTTGCAGTCCATTTGGGACGGTACAAAAGCATTCAGCTAGATCACAAACTCTCTCTTTCTCAATGTTAATGAAACAAACAAAAAAGAAAAAAAAAATTTTTTTTTAAATCACTGCCAACAACCTATGCAAGGGATTCAATCTCAAATCAAAATTCGGAATGTGGTTGCCAATGAGATGCCTGAGTTCAGAGCAGTTAAGTCAGGCTACTACCTCCACACTCACACTGCCTCCCCCCACCCCCCACTCAGCGTTAAACCACTCCTTTTCCACTCCTTTTCGCACCTCTCATTTGTATCCCCCAACCTGGGATAAGAAAACTTTAAAAGCATGCTAATCCCCCCGCCATTCTGATCTATCAGATATTAGGATATGCAAGGGTTGGGAGTGGAAGGGGAGCATGTGGGCTGTCACAACGCAAACGTCGTGGAGCAGAGAATTCCCCTGACTGAGATACAGAGTTCATCTGCTGGGCAGCCAAAAAGAACAAA